GAAGCAAGGTTGGCCACTAGATCCATTCTCTGCCCAGCCTGAAATAGGGATCAACTGTTATGCCCTACCCCTTCTCTTTCCACCTGCAATAGGTATCCCCAAGGAAGCAAAGGAAGATTGAGCCACATTCAGAGCCTCAGACCACCTCAGGCTGATTCATGACGTGGCACTGGTCCTCGAAGGAGCATAAGGATTAGAAATGGAACCTTTGTGAAAAAGTTAAAACTGCCAGAAAGCAGGACCCAGGGCAAGCTCTGGAGGGCACCAGTGCCTGTAAAGCACAAAGTGCAGCAGGTGATGACCTGCTGGAAAGTGACTTCCGAGGCATCCACCAAGGGTTGCAGCCAAGTAGTGCTTCAGGGCAGTGCTCAACCTCTCTGGGCAACTGTATCTCTGGAGCCGGTGCCAGTCTTAAATTCCAGCCAGAGATACCAGACACCTGAGAATTTAAGGAGGTCTTAAAGTGACACAGATACCAGTCTTGGAAATAGCTCTTTCGAAGTTTGTGCTGAAACTATTTACAAGCACTTTGTCCCTTCTTTTTCTTTAGCCTCCAATGTAACAAAACAAACAAACAAATCTAGTTGAGGTGACCCAGCATATGGATTAAGACTCCTTGAAGTATGGAGCCACCGTTTCTTGCAAACATTCGAGTTAAAACCCTCCTCACAGAATGTTTCCTGCTGACTTTTTCCTGAACAGCATAAACACTGGCAGCACTCATCTGATGGTCAGCACTGACTCCACCACATCTGGAACAGTTTAAGCCACGGCCTTCATGCAAAGCCATGCCCACAAAGTCAGGAAAGCAAACTTGCAGTTTAAAAGAAAAGCTGGATAGCTCAGGCTCAAATGGACATTTTTAAGAACAAGGATGAAAGCATCCTCCAACCACGAGCACACAGCATGTATGCCAGGCTGGTGGTGCAGGGAAGGAGAGCATCGTCACAAGCAGTGCTAGGGCAGAAAAGTATTTGGCTGAAGTATCAAGGCATCCACATGCCCATAATATGAATGGTTATACAAGCAACCACTTGAAGGGAGTCTGCCTTTTTTCCTCTTGGCACATAATGAAACTGAAGACAAATGATGTATAAATAAAACAGGGCGCTTCTGTAGTACAGAATGATAACAATCTCAGCAATTCTTCAGCTCATGCCAGGAAATTCTCCTCACACACTGCTTGCAGGTTTATCAGCCTTATCAGATTGGACACAAAAAATAAAATGACAAAAGCAAGGAGGCAAAAGCCAGTGTCTCCACAATGGAGCTTCTAAGCAGCAAACACCACTTTATGTGGGAAAACCCAAACTATGGCTTAACAAAGGCTGGGTTAGGCCATAAAAGGCATATGGCACTCAGTGCCACACCAATGCACACCTACAGATCGTGTATGCCATGTCAGTCATCCCTGAGCAAAAACACACACCTACCTCAGGTCTACAGCTTGCTGAAGGGCGAGTATCACACACACGATGCTCCTCACTAGAGTACAAAATGACACACAGCTAAATCAAGTATGATTGTTCTTCCACGAAAGGGAAACCTGAGCAGCAACACATCCCACTTACCCCACGTCCAACCAGTCTGATTCCAAGCAGTTCTTTGTGGCCTTGTGAAGTCTTTGTCCCACTCTTGAAATCAAGATGAATTTATGTATTCCTACTAAACAGGTGAGAGCTACAACTAATGCTGAAGATTAGAAATCCTGTAAACAGCAATTTTTATTCATTTGGTAACTTTTTAGGAGAAGCTGTGAAATCCCTACTCAAGGCTTACAACCTCGACTTCCCAGATACCCCACGACACCTGATGGGAGAGTGAAGTGGAAACAGTCTCACAAGCAGGACATGCCAACATTATTTCATCCACACCCAAGCTATCAGATGTTGGGAAGCTCAGATGTGAAACCACAATAAATGCTCCTCACACCACCAGCTGATACAGAGGTGAAGTGACAATACAAACCTTTTTCATAGGTTCATTTCTCCAGGTCCTCTGTGTTTGGTGGCAGCAATCTATTGCACTTCAGCAATCTATACTGTGCTTAGAGCTCTTGCACTTGATCTAGGTAACCAAATAAATGTTTACTGGACACTTAGAAGCCCAAGAAAAACCCTACAGGAATGTATTCTCCTCTGCACAACTTGTGCTAGTGTAACAGACACGTTCTTTGCAGGGCCCCTCCTACATTTATTCCACATACTGACATGCTCTCTTCTAGATACCTGCCAAGTCACAACAGCTTTCTAAGACACTCCTAGAATTCCCTTCCCTAGGAAAGCACTGCAGAAGATACTGACTTTAGGAACTTTAGCTTCAGAACACCTGGTGTTTTGAAATCCTTTTGAAATATTATTGTGCCTATATTTTCCTTAGCTAAATACATCAAATACTTAATATCATATTAGACTATCTTGCCATAAGTTTAACTGAATTACAGCTTAATATTTCAAACCTACCACTGCAACAAGCAAACCAATTTCCCTAACTTTCATTTCTTAATCAATTACAGATTTATTTCAGGTGAGTTTAAGACATGTAGGCTTCCCCATGTACCAATGAAGCTAAAATTACAAGGGCAATCTCTATATAAAACAGCCAAAACCACATGGTTTGTTTTGAGGGTTTCAGTTTTCTATTAGTTCACCAGTGATGAGATATAAATACTCCAATGGAGCCTAGACTGAATGTATTTTTAGGAACAGCGGTCTAGAAAATATATAATTAACAAATTAGGAAGCCCAAAATAGTTCCACAGAGCAGCCCACACTTCTTCAGCTTGTCACATGGCTGTTGCTGTGCCCAGCTATAACTGCTCACCAGCAGCATTTTGCTCAGTTTTCATAATTAGCCATAGGGTTTGCACTAATTTGCTTTCAGAGCAGCTCCCATCAGGCACAGAGAAGAAACACTCTCAGTTTACAGGATGACATCTACATCTACTCCTTAGTTGGTGCTTGTGATGGCTGAGCTCTAGAAGACACGTTTACGTCACAAAAGAAATGTCCTTAGCCCACAGCTGGAGAGAAAAACACTTTAAGTGATTAAAGTGAAAACTCGCTAAACTAATTGATGAATTTCAGAGAGTGATAAAACTTCTGGAAACAAAAACTATCAGTCTTTGGATATCTTTGCTTACGTATTTTAGATAAACAAAAAAGGACTCAAATATGAGTTACTGATTACTTTAACTACTTATCATTCTTGAACATGTGCAACTAAATATTTGTAAAACTAAGCATTTACAGCATGGACTTAACACAAACTCATTAAACCCACAACTTTTTGCTCCCAAACAAATATAGAAAGAAAACAATATGGCAGTTTATACCCCGTTTATTAAGACAGAGCCATCTATTACTTAATACACTGGTTGGGTAGCCATAAATCACATTATTTTCTTACTCTATTAAGATGCAAGACAGTTTGGCAACCAAATAACAAAGACAAATTAGGCAGGGTGGAGAAACATTTAAGCTGTAGTGAGTTAAAAACCATCTAAGTTGGGGAGACCTAAACCAGCACAGTTATACAAGGTGCTGGCATCGGGTGACACTCAGCATGGCGTGCTTGCCAGTCAACTCCTCGAGTGCCCAGCGGGCCTGCCAGGCCCCTTCAACTGGAATGTCAGAAAAGGTCCAGGGACCGTCTGGATGCCGCTTTTTTGGACATCTACCAAAGAGCACACGACCAAAGCTACAGTTTCTGTGTAGGGATCGCATAGTTCTTTGTAAGAATGAAGGCTTCTGGTAAGAAAGTTTATAGTGCAATCTGAATTAATTTGTGCCCACAGTGTCATTATTCATTTTCCCAAAACAGTTTAAATATAATTGTGTAGGAATTTGATATCTCTGTAAGGATATTACAAAGCAGTGCGTATACAGTTGGTGACTACATAGATTCAATTTAAATAAATATATCTCCTCAAGCTTTTGCAAAACTGCAAGTATGAAAGCAAGAAGTGACAAAGCAGCCAAGTGCTTCTGTATCTTCCGAACGCTATTAAAATTCTCAGGGCTCTAAGGAGTTCAGATACCCTATCGCACAGGAAGCACACCCCGTGTTCAGTTTAACAGCTGCTCAGGGAAGAGCAAAACCTATTTCTGCTTCCTCTTTGCCAACATGCCACCAAGTTACAGCTCCTGCTGAGAAGTCAGAGAGGTTGCTTTACTCCAGACAAGCAAGTTCAGATATGTTTCTGCTTGTCAGTGTAGCTGTGTGCTTAACATGGAAATTTGTAACACGAGCTGTATCGCACAGAGTTACACACTTTTTTTTCCTACTGAAGACAAAAAAAAGGGTCAAGCACCAGGAGCTTCAGCTCATAAATTCATTGTGTTGGCCCTAGGGAACCTCGCTGGTAACAGCTGTAGCCTTAATGCAAATTTACAAAGTGAACACTTACTCAGCTCAAAAAGCATACACACAATAGTTACCCTGGTAACAACAAATACAGTATCAGGTTAACATCCTGTTGGTAGATAATTTTGTAACTGGAATATTTTATAAAATCATAAATGGCAATGCTTCATTGAAATAACAGATTTAATTTGCTTCTTTAAACAACTATTCTTTGCAGTCTGGCAACATGCAAGTAAATTAAGTAAAAGCACCAGATTTCTTTTCAGTTTTTAAATGATTTTAAGGTTTAAGTCATCAAGAGACTGTTTGGGTTTTATTTTTTCTTTTTTAAAGAGCCTTAATTTAAGACAGTGACAGGGGAAAACTTCTAAAAAGCATCTTCAAGAGATCCTTATCTCATGGCAAAACATTCACTTTATGTATCTTGACATAGAAACATCAACCCTTTTTCTTTTCATAGCCTTCATCAGGAAGGCTTTCAATTAATAAAAAAAATGCTTAAAATTCAGGCATTTAAAGTCAACTACATTCAGCAGATACATCTCATGGTCAAGCTAAATGATTCCCTGTACATCAATACTGCAAAAAGGGAGAGCCATTAGCAGTGTTAAACCATGCTCCATAGGAATTAATACTTTAAAAGCCAACTGATTTGATTTCTACTTAAAAATAAACAGGTATGAAAAATCTCCTTTGGTCACAGTCCATAGACAACTGTTTAGGTAAGTGTGACGACAGCAGGAAAAAACACAGCAATCGACTGGTCATAAATATAAGGGCAGGTGAAGGTACAAATAAAATAGTCCTTTAATTGCAAAGCATGCCATACACAGATAGAAAACAGAGAGAATTTTCAGAATTCCAATATATTAATGCTCACTTTTTTGGTGTATTTCAGTAGCTTCAAAAAAAGACCATGAATGTAAACATGCTTGGAGGCATCTTATTAACATATAAATATACATGTGCCAGATACTTGCAGACTAAAGTCTGGCACATACGTGCTCACTTCACAACAAAACTTTCAGAAAATGAGGCTCAAAAAGCGCTTTCATAATTTTAAATCTAAGTTTTAAATGTCTTAAATGGAGAAACGCTATTTTAGAAAGAATCAGCTACCATTCAGTTCATATTTTTCCTTTAAATACTGTCTTCCAAGATAAATTTGAAAAGAAAATAACCATGATGCCTGCAGATACATCTCTCTGGTACTCAGCAACTTTGACAGTGACAACTTCTGTCTTACATGCAATTCTGCATCAGAGAAAAGCTTAAAAGCATTCTGCAAATATTTTGGCTTGCACATGGAGACTGGAGCAAACAGGTTTTTTATCACAAAAAGTCAGAGTCTTTGCTTGTTGCTAAGTAGTGCCAAACCTTAAAGTTAAATGTGGACTTAAGGATTCGAGTGACATCTGTAAGGCATGACTTCATATTGTCAAACACTACAGATAGACAGACACATCTTTTCACAACTCAGTGCTTCTGATTTAAGGACTATCGTTTTGTAATCAACAAGTCTTCAAATGCGCATAAAATTTAAAAGTACATGAATGCAAAACATTAATTTGTAACTTATTTTCTTCAAAAGTTCCATTCTGACAAGTAAATTATCTGGACAAGTATCTACTTGCCTTTACAAGTATTTTCAAGAGTTATGCATTTAAAACTGAAACACCATAGGCATGATAAAACTGGTAAAAAGATCCTAAACTCATAGACCTTCCTGTATACTCAAAATAAAGTATATTTTAATTTCTCCAATTCCACAGGGCTATAAAATACCTTTGTAAGATTCCTCACAAAACCCTCCTATGGAGTAAGCCTTTTCTATAGCTCTTTCTGCAGAAATGAGAAACGCCTCAAAAGAACACTTAACAAGACTGAGGCTCAAAAACTCATCTGTCATGTAACCAAATCAGATTGGAATAATACAAGTGTAACTTTTTACATTGAATTCTACTGTTAAATTAAAAAAAAAAATAAAGCTGTGGTTTGTGCACCTCTTTAAGACGTGTTTAAGATTTTCTAAATTAAACCAGAATGAGAAACACAAATGAGAAATCAACTATTTGCATTCTCCACCTACTAGCATTTTAATGCTTTTAGAACTGAAAACGTATTCATTAAGAAATACACTGCAACTGGAATAGTCAAGTCCACCAAAATTTAAAAAGTGATTCATTTTAGCATAACCACACTAGCAAATTATTCTGTATATTTCAGTGAAGCAGAGCTTTAAAAAAAGTATAGAGAAATATATAATTCCTTTTTTGTGTGTTTTAGGGGAGCAAATCTCTCCATAAAGGTTATTTATACAAATGCAAGAGCAAACCTTCTGAGATAAGGGTTTGGGGTTTTTATTTTTTTTTTCCCAAAGATTCCACCACATGATTAAAAATTAGATTAATGTGTATTCCTGACCACATTGACAATGTCACAGCTAGTTCATGACAAGCAACTGCAACAGGTGTAAATGAAAAACAGGTCCCTACACCGGGACAAAGCTTGGTTGCAGGCTGACTGTATGACACTAATATTGAAAGCAAAAATTTAAGTAAACTCATCTGGCATTCAGATCCGACTGAGGGAACAGTAAGAACGACACAGTGAAGGTACACTTAGGTGCAATTTCATGCTGGTGACTTTTTCCTCTTTTATGCTTAGAACAGATTTTAAACCAAGAGTTGCATATCCAATGACACACACGCAATTCAAAACTTAAGAGACCATTAGCACAGTTGTACACATAATTACATAAACTTAGTATTTACATATTCTAAACAAAGTTCCATTTTAACAGTTGAAGTCTTAACACATGAAAGATAATCTACTACAAAGAATGCATAACGGGATCACAAAGTTTCCACAAGCATATAAACACATGTTTTAAAGTGCTTTCTGGGTGCTTCAGATTAACCCCTCGCAGTATGAGCTTTTATGTAGTGCTGTTCCAGTCATTACAAAATTATTTAAATCATTCCTCTTCAGGTGCATTGTGAGTTCAGGAATAATGACGACACCATTGATGTAAAAGCTTTAGGCTCTACCAACATAAATGTATACATTACTTAGGTTCAGATGAAGTTGTCAAATACTTTGGTTTATCGTAGCTTGGGATAAATATTTGATAGAACAAAAATTGCACCTCTCCACTCTTGAGTTTGTTTTTTTAAAATTAAAAAAGTACCCCAACATAAATTGACAGTATTCTTTGGTAAAAACAGGACATTTGGCCAGCTCGTGTGTACATCTATTTATTAAAATAGCCTAAAAGTGAACAAATGCCGCTGCTGTACTGTCAATTTACAGGAATGAGCATTCCTCAGTGGGGAGTATCAAAATATTAGCCTTAGCAGTTACCTATACAACAAGCTGAAACACCTTCAGCAACCATTACAGGGGATCAATAATGTTTTAGAACACTTTTTGCTTAACATATATCCTTTGCATTACAAAAACCTGTAAAATGTTCTATGCCTGCAGACAAGTCCGTTACCTTGCAGTGACTACAGAAACGTTATTCAATGGCGTACACTGTCAAGTTGCTGTAACAAAAACCAGGAATATGGTGTGCTGACCAACTAATACTCAATTGCACAGTACTTGTGCATTGCCTATCCTAAATACTAAGAAAAGCCTATTAAAAATTCATTTAACTGCTACAAGTTACGTGAATATATAAAAACAGAGCAGATATACAAGTATAACACTGAACATACTGTACTTTATTAGCACAAAAAGCCAGAACAAGGCACAGCAAGCAGAAAAATACATCAATAGAAGGGTTAGTGTAGCATACAAGAATAACGTTTATTGTACTTGCAGCCAAAATGTTTCCTACCTCGCACAGGTCACTCCTGTAGAGAAGTAAGAAATAAGATACTGTAGCAGCTGGTAAAGAAACTAGGGAGCACTCAGAATTGGTACAAAACATTAAACAGGGATCAGGGCATTCCAACAAAACTTTAGTGCAAAATATCTAAGACAGAACTACTTTAAGTTCCATCTCCAATTAAATAAGCAAATAGAAGTTAGAATCTTGACTCTAAGTAATCTGTTGAAACTATCATCAGTGCATATTACTTTAAAAGATTTTTAAAAGTCCAGATGGAAAGATATTTACAAATAAAGTGTACCAGTACCTTTGAAACCTGACATTTGTTTCAGATATGTCAGATTTTGTACTCTGATTAAAATAATTCTACCACTTGTCATGTTCTCCATAAAAATATCAGATGACTTTAAATAATTAAACATTTTTTTCTTATCACTATTACCTTCCATTGTAAATTACTAGCAGCCAGGCCACCAACGTTTTGGAAAAAAACCCCAAAACATTATGTTTCACACCAATAATCTAATTCTGTGTCCTGCCACAGAAGCAGCAATTCACACTGGAAGGTATTTTAAACTGTCTGACAGTATTACTTTTGCTAGCAATGCCACTTAAATCTCCAAGTGTTTGTAACAGAATTACAGTACAGAGCAGGTATATTCAAGTCTTAATGATTAGGAAACTTTATACACTCTGAAAAGCATGATTCATCTGTTAGCATCAGAGCACCATTAACTCTTAATGGACTGCTTCTAATGAACTGCTCTTCATTACAAGAAAATATTCACTAGTATTTGGAAACTTGTTTCTGAGTTAAATTATTACTTTGAGTAGAGGAAATTTTCCAAGAAGATAATTTTTTAAAAATACTTCAAATATTAGCAAAAATGCCCCTCCAATAAAGCCTTTCTTTAACAGCATTACATGAATGCCCCATGGGAAATGCCTCATAGTTTCTTCATCCAATTACTACAGCTATAAAAGGGAAACAAAATATTTAGAAATTAGCAAAAATATTTTCATTAGGCCTTAATGAAAAACGTGCAGAATTGTGTCTGCTTATTGTTTCCAAGAGGCATCACAACTTAGTTTGATTAACAGCAGGCAGCATCTGACAGGATACTAACACTCAGCTTAAATAGGATATTGCAGAAAAGCTAGACGTCGTTCGGTGCGCTTGCTGCAGTTAAACTGTAATACAAAAAAAAAAAAAAAAAAAAAGCATGTTCCAGAAGCTTAATTTGATTTCCATTTACTTTGTTTTTATAGGTTCCCGCTCCAGCCATCGCACCCTGACTTTTTGCTTATAATGATACTCCTTAAGAAAGTCTTGCAACATTGAGGGTAGAGGAAGGTCATCAATTCCATCGTACGTAGTGCACCTGCAGATTACTGCCCGGCAGATATACTGCAGACTAAAGGGGAAGGTCCTGTTCAGAGATACAGTAAGCAACGGTTCAAAGAACATGCATGAGCTGGGGTCTTTGTAGTGTTCCAGAAGCCCTGTGACGGTGGAGGAGTGGAACACACAGGGGTCATGGGCATCAAAGCTGAAGTTGTGGTTCCACTGCTCAATGCGTGCGTGCAGCGAGCGGTTGTAGCGGCGGAAGCTCACCGAGAAGAGGTAGTCCTCCTGCGCAGAATCCCTGAGCAAAAAAGTGCCTTCGGGTTTACCCTCCAGAAGTGCTTCTGCTTCGTAGCGGTCCATGACGCCCCAGTAACACGGGTTACCTGTGATCTGGAGCAAGTCTGGCACGAGGCAGTGGATGTAATCGATCTGAGTATGCACCTTCCAAGCCCCCTGCCTGCTGATATGGCCGTGGCTCTCTCCTGACATCTGACGCTGCTTCTGCCGGCGCGACTGCAGGCAAAGCGTTGTTGTGTCCTCTTCGGAGTCACAGTTCCCTGGAGGTGTTATGGTTTTGTCCCCGGTCAGCTCAGTCATACCAGGGGCTAACTTTGGTCCCAGTTTATACAATGGATTTACCTGTGCTGTAGCTTCAAAAGTGTGTATTTGGGCATTGGGAGGGGGATCAACCCCTTCTTCAATACTAAGTCTACGTCTCTCTCTGAGCCTGTCTTCTTCATCTTCTGTGGAAACCAAGGAGGGATCAAATGTGTCAAAGAAAGTTGAATGAGGGCTCACAGGCGCTGTGTGTTGTTTAATCAGATGCCACTTCTGGGCCAGATCAGAGCCTGCAGGGAAAGGGCATTTCTCAAGCATTAGTTCAGAGAGATGGATCTTTCTTTTGTTAGAAAAGAGAGGTTTGGACTGTTTGCTGTAAGTTCTCATGGGAAAACACAGCCCGACAGTATCTTGGAGACGCTGGCGCAGAGAACGGCTACCTACTGTCCTGCTGGATACTGCATCCATGTCATGGACTGAGCTCACCCCGTACCTTCTCTCCCTCCTCTGCAAACCACTTCGTGTTCTACCAAATCTTTTTTCAGTATCCAAGGAGCTCTGTGTTTTGGTAGAGCAGGAATGCTTCTTCTTCCCACCCCAAGGAGCATGGCGAGAATAAGAGTCCCTTCGAGCAAGCCTGGCTCCCGTGGTGACACACGAGTCATTCTCCTTCTCAATGCTTATTTCAACAATCTGAGGAATTTCTGTGACACAGTTTTGGTTCCGCCTTGCTGAATTCTTGGAAGGACTTAAGCCTAATTGCAGAGCAAGGTTTTCTCTCAAAGGGCTGCTGGGTTGTTGTTGAGTCAAGTCAGTTATCTGGATGGCTTTCTCTTTACCAGATGAGCAATTATTGGAGTTCACAACTATACTCTCATTTTGGCTTCCACCCTCATGACTAAAGAGATTCTGGCACCTGTATTTGAAATTGTTCCACATCCTTCCCACTTTATCCATGGATTATGTTATCTAAATTCAAGAGGAGAAGAAATATTAAAATAAAAATATAGTTCTAAAACACAAGGATACATCTTCAGTTAACAATTAAGTTACAGACCCAAGATGACTACTACTAACTGAATGCAATACATTTTTAGAAGTGTCTTAGTCTTTGTAAGGTTACATGGAAGCAAGATGCATCACATAATTTTGATATTTAGAAAAATATCCATATTTTTGAATATTTTCTAAATGAATATTTAGAAAATCACCACAAAGAAAGTGTTTAGGAAATTAAAAACATTTCATATACAAGTAGGCCCTCTTATTTTTCTGTAGGTATGCAAGTAGGTTTTTTGCATAGCTGTATTTGATGAACGGGAAATACACAGTCTAAAAGTCTTCATTTTAGGACGAATTTTTAAGTCATATGTTAGGTATGACTCCCTGATAAGCTTCCAATAAGCAGCAGTAAAACAAATCCTGAATAAGAACTGTTCAAGCCACTCGAAACTAGGAGAGCAGTTAGTAAAATCCAACAAGTGCACTGCAAATCTCCAGATACACCATGTAAAAGCAAAAGCTCCAGCTGCAGACCGCATAAATTCCAAGATACAGCTTTGCAAGATTAAAAGAATTAGCACAAAAATAGAAATTTAGGGGGGGAAAAAAAGCATTCGTGATTATTAGATGAGACAATGACCAAAAGACAATTTTAGAATTATAAAGCCTCTGATACATTAATATAAGCCATATGAAACAGCTGAAAAAAACCCCACCAACCAATGGTCTGGCTTTATTACTTAAGATATAAAAGAATGAAAGAGCCCAAGGAGCTTTTCTATCTTTAGTAAGAACACTTAAAAAGAAAGCAGCTCCACAACAGAAACACGATGACAGTGAATCATAAAGATACAGTAAAAAGATAAAAACATTAGCAGTGTGTATTCTGAAACTACATCTTTAGAAACTGAGTTTGATAATTGGAACAAGACTGCCAAAATTACAGGACTGCCCTAGGACAGAGAAACAGGCTAATTCTGTACTAAAAAAACTCAGGCAATGCCAAGCTAAATTAGATCTAATTAAGTTCTGAGAGAAGTGCTAAACTTAAAAGCCTAAAATACATCATCTTATCTAATTTAACTCTTTAAGGAAACTGCTCTGCTCTTTAGAAACATATTATTTTGCAACAACACTCCTCTGTTGCTGCACTTCTTTTCTGTTCATAACTGGAGAGGAATCTGAAGTAGTGACTGAATGTATTGGGGCTCATGACAAAGTGGATGATAAACAAGCAGGCAATGCTCTGGTGATCCAGCCTACAGGAGCACAGCTGTAAGCCTATGACTTTATAGCAGAATCCACTGAGACTGGGGAAGAGCCAGAGGCATAGCTTACACGAGAAACATGCAAGAGAATCAATGTGGAACACCTGACTGTGATAGGAATAAAAATTAAAAGCTTTCTTTCTTATTCTGTCATCAGGTCATCCAGCAAACCCAGCAAGCCAGGTATCCAACTGCACTAAATAAGACCTTAAGAACTGAGTGCAGATGAGAGAGCTGGGGAGAAGGGGGAAATCAGGCCTTCAGTCTCTGAAGGTTACTGGTACAAGTTACCTACAACACAGTGCTAAGGACAATCTGCACAGCACCCACCTCTTTATTAAGGAGGGAGACACTTGCAGAGCAATGTTACACGTACAAGGTGCTACACAGTTCCATGTATACATAAAAACTGTAAGCAAATGAACAAAGAATGTCTTCCTGATTACAATAAAATCCTAAAATTGTGTCTCTTTCTGGAGTTGTCTGGATCAAGTTGGGAAAATTCTAGGAGCAGAACTACTCAAGTCAGACCACATACAGATTTGCAGAAAGCATCCAACACGTATCATGTCATTGCAATGATCATAGCTGTTTGTGGTGTCTCAGAATATCCATGCTGACCATGAGGGAGCACATGTTTGCTCACTGCCAGTCTGTCAACACAATATATATAAGGTTGACTTCTACACTTTTGTCTCAAGTTTTAAGTTTTCTATTCTCCTCCTAGACAGAGAGATGTTTAAAATTTTTGGGAAGAGAAAAGAATGAGATATTATATAAACTCCATTCCCTTGGCAAGTCAGGCTAAAAAATGTACACATTTCTGTGACAATGAACTGGAATTACTTTTCTAACCAAACAATCATATGCTATTCAGTCATGCCTTTTATTCTGAAATTGCTCTTTATTTCTTTTCCTTTGCACTACTAGTCTAAAATGTCTTAAGACTGTTAGATGAGTGGAAAGTTCTCTACACGTGCCCAGAAAACTTCAAGAACAAACAAAAATAAAAACCAACAAAACACTCTACCCACAACGCCCCCAGCATACTGGCTTGACAGACTGTACTTTTCAAAAGTTAAATTTAAAAGGTTAAGTATTTTTTGTCACACTCAAGAGAATAAAGTTACCTTTCTTACCCAGAAAAGTAAATGAGTCACTGTGTCTTGTCTTGAGAATATACCTCAACATGAACTTGCTAGATTCCTTCTTTGACTTGTGGACATGATTACTACAAAGGGAAAAGCAGACATTTTGTTAATAGTTAGAATATATTTTCATTTAGACATTTACCATTAGTCACTGACATCGAAGGGATATTTTACTATTTATTTCTGAAATGTGTGCATGGAACTGCCTGCTCTTTGTGTATTTTTAATGCATATTAACATAAACAAAAAGCTTCACAGAACTTGCTTTTTTTATGCATTAACAACATTTGTCAAGTACAGTCCTGGGAAGGACTCTGAAATACAACTTTTGACAACCAAGAGCAAAGCCACGTTATCTGGATCATTGAAGTGCCAGGCACAGTGGGCATAATCAGGCCCATAAAATGTTTTCCCCACATTTTGGTCTCAAGTCCAAAACAGTGTTTCCCAAGTTGTGGTTGGCAGTGCAGTCAGATCACCACATACTGTCTCTCTCCTCCTTGTTTCCAGCTGCTACATCACATCAAAAGGCAGCTAAAAATACACACTTTTCTAATATTACTTTTCCAGGTAAGCAACTGCTGTACTCTCCACAAGGATGTTATATGATTGTGAAGCAAGAGCAATATGAACCATGATTCTAAAAATGGGAAAGTGGAATACAAGACAAGTTCTTTATTAAAAGAGTAGGTCAGCACTTCCCTAAAATAATCATCATTGTTTTTCAGAAATCCAAGAGGAGTTGAGGGATTTAATATGCTCACACCACTGTCAGAAATCTAACTGTTACAGAACAGAGGAAAATAATTTGCTTTTCCATGCTAGATCCAAGCCCAGGAAAGCAGTAAGAGTTAACAGAAAACAATGAGAACTTGTATTAAAGGTTTACACACAGAACAGGAAGAAAAATATTAAAATGTGATGCACATGTACTTCAATGAAAAGCTACAGGGTTGAGCAATCACTAGGTGAGTATTAAAAGTTAACATTCCTAGGTAGAAACTCCAGAGCAAAGGCAGAAAAGTCCAATTGTTACTAGTTTCCATTCTCCTCCTGAAGCACTAAAATTGTTGAAACATTTTTAAAGTTAGGCCACATATTGCTATTGAGATTCCATAAAAGTAACCTTTTCAGAGAGCAACAGAGTGACAAGCACAAAGCATTTACACCAACCAAAGATCAAAGCACAAGTACAGTTCTTTTGCAACTGTAATATTTACTCTCATTTCTTTTGTTCTGCATTATGTTCCTAGCAAGCCTACAAACACAAAACAGTCAAACCTATTATAATTGGTTCAGTGCAAAGCCTTAACAGAGCAAATACAAGGTAAAATTGCTAGAATAAGGGCTATCCATCTTTAAACAAAACCTTACTTGAAACATTAGCTCATTTGGCCCCCTGAAGTTCATCTTCATTCCAAATAAAACCAGTGATACTCTTTTACTGGGCACAGGTGGCAAAGGGGCTGCCTGCTAACCATTTTAACTCATCAAAAATACAAAAAACCCACACGGATGCTTATCCTGAGGAGTCCTGCTTAATGGTACTAGCTTTATATATCCTTATTCTTTTCAGTTCTGCTCAGAAACATGAGCCATCAATGCATTACCTATCACATCACCACTGCCAGCCAGCTGACATGGCCTGTTGGACAAACTGCCAGGTGGCTCCAGGAGGGAGTGGTTTCTTTGGGAACCAGCCTTCCCTAATGGAAAACAGTTCCTTGAATTTGGGCAAATTGTCTCAGTTAAACATCTCAGACTAGTGTTAGAATAAAACTTGAGTCTCTGGTAAAGTATTTAAAATTCAACATAGTGATTTTCAATTCGTTTAAATCAATGTGCAACAGATGTGTGGTTTCACAGATTTCTTGTGGCAGCACTAAGCTTGACAAAATAAAAATTGTTTCTGAACTGGTTCTAAAGCCATCCCAGTTTCACAAAGGAGTACCGCCAGTGGTTATTCTAGCCTAAACAGGAAATCAATTTCATTCCATCAAAATCCACAAAACGAATTCAACCATTTGTAGATTTTCTAAGAAAAAAACCCCAATTATTTTTCTAAGAAAAACAGAAGTTCTATTGATGTTCTTAATCTCTTTTCAACTAAAAATTATTTCTATCTACTTTGAACTGACATAAATGATCTTAAAAATAACAGATAATAGGCACTCTACCGGGATTACAGAAGCAATGAGCAGAAATACCTTAGTGCTATATTCCCATTTGCAGAAAATTTAGAGACATTCAAAGGCATGAAGTTTGCATGAGTGTAGTCTTCAAGTATTCTGAGTGCACAAACGCTCAAAGAGATTTTGAGCAATATGATAGAGATACAGTTACAACTTGTTTATAATCCTAAAATATCACATATTAACAGATTACTGTGAAAACTCAGACCACTCTTTCCAGAAATGTCACAAGATCCAGCCAGAGTTTTCTGCCTGTGACTTCATAGGAACACTACTCAGAGTCAAGGCTATGCTCTCTCTGAAAGATAATATACTTGTTTCACCCTCACAGTTCACCCAATTTAAAAATTACTCAGTAGAGTTTATTATATTCAAAGTATTAACTCCTAACAATGTAGCATCTTCACAAAAGATGATATACTGCATTAAGTATGATACCTTACAAAATAGGCTAAAAAAAAAAAAGAATCTAAAAGATTATTCATTTTGGTATTTTTGTAGGATGATAGCTGAAAAATAACAAGGTCAAAACACTGAAGGAATACAAACCCAGACAATTCTTACAAGTCAAAAACCCAGTAACCTGGCAGAAGGAAAAGAGGGGAGGGAGAGAAATCAGTTTCCCTGCTCCTTGCATGTTGTTTAGTTCAAAGTTAGTTGGAGCATACACAAACTGGCTACCACATTCCATGACCCTGGTGCATGGCCCCACGGACCATGGAGGTACAAGCAAAAGACCGGAGGGAAACGCTGCTTCTATTCGTGTCATTCCTTCAAATGATTTGCTTAGCAGTGACAAGAGACTCTTATTAAAGACATTTGCTTCCATTAAGGGATGCTTGCTGAAGAGGCCACGGTGCTATGTGCACGCTGCCAAATGCCCGCTGCAGGCTCCTGCTGCAGGGCTGCACTGAGGGAGCTGCTCCCGTCAGCACTCCTCAACCTTATTCAGTCACAGTGAATAAGGCTGGCAACCCCCCACGTCTGAACTAACCCACTCGAGGAAGGAAGGGCAATGCTAAGGATTACAAAGCAATTTCCTCCCTTCCAATGCACATTCCAGAAATAATGAATCACTACTGTAATACTAGAGATAACGTTTCTTAAAAAACAAGGAATTTGTTGGCTCAAGAGGAACCATGCATTTTTCTACACACACAAAAATGTGCTCACTGCAGACAGCTCAAAGAGCTGATTTAGAGGCCTGGAAGGAAAAGGTAGCTGCTATTTTTTTAACTAAACAAGGTAAAGGGGCCAAGTGTCTCAAGTGCTCATGAAAGCCTTATTAGGATAAAGTACTACTGGTTTTTAACTATTAGGCTTTGATAAATTTTAAGTGCAGCTGCAAAGGAAGATGAATACGAATGTTTGAATCCCCAAACCAAAACTCAAACCTGCCAGAAAAGAGGTGAAGGATAGAGAGCTACAATTCTAACAACACACAGAATTGGCCTAAGTCAGCACTGCAACCAAAAGATATGGTGTCAGCCTCTTCCTGGCCACCTGTGCTGGTGCAGGAGGTGGTCTGCACACCATATGGCTGCTCAGTCAACCAGCCCGAGGAACTGATCCAGACTAAAACGAATTCTCAGAAAAAGTCTCAATCATTTACTCCATCTGCTTTATGACTTCTGTACAAACATTCAAGTTAACACATGGGAGGAGCAGATGAGGAGGGAGGAAGCAGCAGCCAGGGCAAGATTGCTTCCTTCCACAGCAGCACTGGTTAGTTCTGCTGAAGTTGTTAAGTTCTTAGACGGCTACTTTAAAGACAAATCTCCATTCTCAGCCGTGGGGCTCTGGCTGCAAAGAGAGCGATTAGGACTCTACTTAAGATGCTGCTTTGAACACTTGCATTGAAAGTTTAGCCACTGAAAACCTTTACTTCGAAAATAAAATGCTGAGCTGGCTTGATGCATTCTGCTAATACACAAGGAAAGCTGAAAGTTTCAAGGACTTAAGCTGGCAGACTGTCAAGTCAAAGTAAAATAATGATATTTTGCCATTGTTCCAACCTGGAGTAAGAAGTAAACTCCACCCTCTCCTTGGTGCAGATTTGCAATGAGCAAAAAGCAGTGTCAGCTTGGACATCTGATGTTCTGCCAGTTTCTCCCCAAGCAGCTGCACATTGGTAACTTCAGTTCAAAAATATTACTCCAAGAGTTTGAACAGTGGGAACATTCTTGTAAACCTCTTACTAGGTTGTGGGTTTCCAAAAGGACAATTTTGGGACTACGTGTGTTCACCCTGGATTGAAAAGTACTATACAGTTCCTACCCATTTCTTTGCTATTCAGAAAATCTGAAATCCCTGAAGCAGACAAGCCATCAATAGATGAACAGAAAGTTATGGCACTGAACCAAAACTAGAGACAACTGTATTTTAAATAGTCCTTCCCGTCTACTTACACAAGTCCAGTAAGTAATAACACAACCATCATGAAGAAAGCTAGTAGTTTTAATTATGTAAGAACCACAGAGCAAACATGAGTTTCAGATATTAAAACAGAAATAATACTATACAGATTTACCAAGAAATCCACATAGTGGTAGATCTCTATGCTAGAAACTGCAAATTCAAGACAATGGCACACATTAATTCCACGTCAAATCATTTAGACAGCATCCTGATGGTGGCCACTTATTGTAGCATGTAAATCCACACAAGCAACATTAAATGGAAGAAGTTTCCTTTAAACTATCTCCATACATCCTAAGTAGGCAATTCAATTTCACTTTAACATTTGAATAAACAAAAGAATGAGGATTAAGTAAGCAAGATAAAGTATCTGCCAAAGAGGAGAACTCTAGGTGACTTAGTGTAATAATGGTTTCCATACTGCTATGTTTAACTCTTCTCACACAGAAGCTGCCACTATACATTTTAAA